AAGATGGGGTGGCGTGAAGGGAGAAAGGGAAGGGTTTGATGTGATAGATGCGTGGGTGGGTTGGAGGTGGCGTGGGGTAAGTAAATTAATTATACTATATTATAATTAAATATTTAATAAATTTAATTATCACTTGATTTTTGAAAGATTTTTAGAAGTTTGTTAGTTTTAAAATGTAATTTTTAAATGAATGATTTATGTAGCATTCCGTAATATAAAAGTCTCTTGGGCTTTCTTGATTAAAATGTATATTTTTTTATTTTTTAATAATTTTTAAAATTATTTAATGGGTTAAACTAACCAGTATAAATATGACCGATTCTTAGCAATCCACTATTAACAACCCATTATTCACTAGCTAGCAAATTTTGCGAATATTTCTAGATCATGGTAGAGGCGATTGGATCGATTCTACCTATATATACACCCGTTTGGTTTTGGAAAAAAACACATCAAAAGTGAAATTGTAATTTTTCATATATTGAAATTTTTATACTTGGGTTTTACACATATTCTGGAGTATACTTGAGAGTTTTGAGAAAATCATTTGTGATTGCTGCACAAGTGGTTTGTGATCATTGTATCCTTGGAGTAATTATCCACGGGGGTCGCAGCGGTAATCGACGGGCAATTTCACTTTAGAATATCGTGTTGCTATGAGATTTGATCAATTGATAAGTTTTATTTCTACATTTTACCGTTTTACAAATTATTGCAACTAATTATTTTTCCTATATCTCCCAATTCTCTTGATCGGTTTGTGCAATACGTTCAAGTGACGGGATGGATTAGATTCAGGTAAGGATGTCAACGAGTCGGGTCACGCCGGCTTGCGAGCCAAAATTTGAGGCTTGGGCTCGGCTTGGGTAAAGTGAGTGGGCTTTTTTCCGAGCCCGAGCCGGGCAGACTCGCTTTTTTATCTTTTTTTTTAATATAATTATTAAGGTAGTCGCAACCGGGCTACCTTTTTTGCTGCCTAATTTTTTTCCCTTCTCAGACTCGCGGGCTAGCAGTGGGCTAGGCCCGTCCTCCTAAAATGAGGCTCGGCCTGAGCCTTGGCCCGGTTCTACCAAGTCTCGAGCCGAGCTACGGGCGGTCTGAGCTGGCGAGCTGAATTGCCATATCTAGATTCGGGAAATTTAGTAATTTTCAAATCCTAATTGGTGGATTAGAGTGGGCCCTCAATTTTCAATTGAATGGAATTTAAGCTCAAGTTTGTCTATTATTAAAGTAAAATAATGAGTTTAAAAATAGTGGATTTTTAGAAAATGTGTGATTAAAAAGTAGAAATATTTTTTTTTCTGAAATTTACGTGCAAAATATTTAACGGTGAGATTGAAAATGAATTGTGAAAAAAATAATAATAATTTGTTTTTGAAATAATAGTCGACAAACTGGGCTAAAAGGGCAAAAGGGGCAAAGCCTTATTCTTATTATTATTATTATTATTATTATTATTATTATTATTATTATTTATTTATTTATTTATTTATTTTTATAAACCTTGTAAAACCTGGAAGATTCTTGTCTTCGTATTCGCGTGTCTCGGCTCAGTCNTTATTTATTTATTTATTTATTTTTATAAACCTTGTAAAACCTGGAAGATTCTTGTCTTCGTATTCGCGTGTCTCGGCTCAGTCGCTTTTTGGTTAACGTTTTTCAACGACTGGTGTGTTCAATTTCAAATTTTCTTACATATATCCTTGCTTGTACGAATTCACAGTGTTCGAAATTTCTTTAAGCAATTTTTGTGTAGTTTTCGACGTTCTAATTTTGGGTTTTCACGGTTTTAATTCATGTAAGACTTGTTTTTTGATTTGATTAAGGATTTAAAAGTTAATTCTAGGAAATCATACCTGGTATTTTTTAATGTAAATTTCCAATTTGGCAGCGAATTAAGGAATTTATTTTGATAACTAAATTATTCCTGTCATGCGATAATTAGATATTTGCAATGTTTTTCGTTTTCTAAATTGTGTTTTCAGTTTGCTTTTGTACATAATGGATCACCACAAGTTGTGTTTTGTGCATTTACGGAGGTATTTTGCATTATTGTTCAGCAATGGCTATAGCATTTCACAACCTAAACTCGGATGCTGGGCTCAATAATCTGGATGAGTACCTCTCAACTCGAAGTTACATCACAGGGTAGTTTTTCTGGCCCTGCTTTTGTTAATTTTATGTTCTAAATTTTTGTGTATAGTATTTCAATAGCAGTTCCTGTTTAATTCTTTACTCAGGTATCAAGCCTCGAAAGATGATATTATTGTGTATGCATCACTTGCAAAACCCCCGTCTGCTGAATATGTGAATTTATCACGTTGGTACAACCACATTGATGCTCTTCTGAGGATTTCGTAAGTTCTGGCAATTTAAACTGCTTTTTTGTAATTTCCTCAACTTTTGTAAATGTGAAATTGCAGCGATGCATGTTTTTGTGTAATGTATTCTATTATTCTTCATCATATGTCTATTTTTAATATTAATTATACATTATGTTTTTGCAGTGGGGTATCTGGTGAAGGTTGTGGTGTCAGG